GGCGCGGGACCATGCCCCGCACCCGCGCTCGCAGCGGGTCCGGCGCGGCTGGGTGTGGAACCAGTTCTTCGTGCTGGAGGAGTACATGGGCTCCGAGCCGCAGTACGTGGGCAAGGTAAGGCCTCCGGCTTTAGCCCGCGGGGTGGCGGGCCCCGCGCGTGGGGCGCGGAGGGGCGCGGAGGAGTTGCGCTGACCAGCTCCGTGAACGCTGGGAATGAAGTTCAGGAGGCCTGGTTTTTCTTTCTGCCTCGGTCACCCGGGTACGCTTTGAAATATCACTCAATCTAAGTTTACCTTAATTACCCCTGCTTATTCACAGACATATTGATTCTTTACATTCTTTGCTAAACAAACTACATAAAAGCCATTCAAAATGTCCTTAGAGCACATTATTGCTCACAGACATTCTGAAGTTGTTTACCCCTGAGAGAAATAGAACAAAAATCACCAGGTATAAACTCCTGTGGGTACCCTTGAATGGCCAAGATGCCTTTCTGCCTTTCCCCCTTAAAAACATGACGCATAATTAGAACTACGGTTCTGAAGTATCTGACTTGGCTGGCTTATGCTTTATAAATAATTTATTATATGCTTTGCAAGCTACTTATGAAGCTGTTTATGGTCAAGTTAAAAGAAATGTTGGAACCCAAATACATACACATTGATCTTCAACACAGCACGCAGTTTTCTAGTCGTATTGCAGGTTTGTAGAAATTTAGTTTTTTCACAAAATAGTTGATGGCAGATGTCTTTTGCAGCACGTTTATGTTTTATTGCTACTTTCCTTACATAAAATGTTTGATCTATATCTAGAATAGATAGAACTCATCGATGCCACTGGAAATTTTTTTCCCCAGAAAAGTAAATATTTTATTTTGATCTTGTTAATTCTGATTTTTAAATTTCTAAAAGATTTTGTCATGGTTTTAACAAAAGAAAAAACAGATATGCATAAAGAGAGTTTAAAAGAAATCTAAGGATAGAAAAAGGAAACCATAGTAAGAGGAGTATTAGGAAGCCCATGTATAGAAAAGAAAGTCCCTTGAACATTAATGTCCTCAGAACTTTCTGGAATACTAAACTAATAAGACACATTATGAGTCTTATGATTTCAATGTTAGGTCAAAGAAGAAAATCCATTCAAGATCTTCATTTTTTTGCAGTACATTTTTGGAATTTTTTGGAAAGGTATTTAAAGGATATTGAATAATACAGTGCAGAAGGTCCTCAAATAGAAACCTTTGTTGAAAGTGATGGCATAGCCAAGGTTGCCATATGGTGTATGAGTCCTCAGACAAATATTTCCTTTGGGGCACCTATGTATATATACAATTTGAGACGCATCAAATTGGTCTTGGAGCACCATTCTGGCAGTTCAGTTTCTGTAATATTGCCAAAAATCTTCAGTTCCATTAAGTAGGAGCAATGCCCTTGACAGGATTCCTACCTACTAGGAATCAGGGCCTGGTCACACTGCCCTGGACAACTCCATTGGGCCAGTCCTGGAGTTCCATGAGGTATCTGGTAAGCTCCAAAATTGAGTATAAAGTCAGAGACTTAGTGGACACTGATGGAGAAGTGGACACTAAAGCCCAAGCAGCTTCAATCCAGCCCAGAGCATCCCACCCAGATGGCACTGCTGCCCACAGATAACCCTGGGCACAAGAACAGTCTTAGAAAATCTTGAGAAAAGCACTCCAAAACATGCAAAACATGAAAGCCCCCTTGCGTTACTGTACATTGTTTCTACTTATACTATTTCTTCATACAATCATGGAATATAATAATCACTAAAACATTTTTATGGTGAGACAGGCTCATGTTGTGCTGGTGCACTTGTTTCTGGTGAGTTAATTTAACATAAGGATTGAGTTTTGAAATCCAAGACACGTGCAGGGATAACATAGCTCTAAAACTACCTCATGGGTGTCAGTTATCTCAACCGTGCTTATAACAGAAGCTAGACAGGGAACCGGGGTTCCTGGGAATGTCTGGTGAAAAGGGGTGCTCTGGTTTGAACTGAAGCAGGTTGGTACACTTCAGATGCTGGACTTTGAGGTGAGAAAGTTGACTTTTTGTTGAAAAATTAATGAAACTACTTCTAGTCTGTCTTAAATAGAGTAGCATTTCACCTCCTAATGGATGTAAATAAAATGGAGCTAGGAGCTACTTATCCTTTTGTTCTTCCAAACAAAATTTGTTATGATAGAATGGAATTCATCCAACTCAGTTAAAAGATGAGTCAGTGTTTACAAATAGGCTGAAAAGAAAGAGGCATGAGTTTGAACCCATTATTAAGTTAAGGCATTTTCAGAGGCAGATGGCTCCACACGAGTAAGGTATCATATAAACCCATGGTTCTCGGGCATTGTATGTTTCTAGTGTCAATGTAACAGCAGTTGCCAAATCTCTTTTCCACATGGAAAATTGTTAAAGTTTAATTAACTCTGTGTTGACGATTCTAGATGTGGGAATAGTAATATGATAACACGGGGACCAATTTAAGCCATTATATGTAAGTGTGTAAACATATATAAATATATTCATGTTCTTGCTCTTTCTAGAAAAGCTTTGAGACAGTTTGGAGAAAATTAAAGTATTATAAATAATATAGAATATAGGGCTAAAGGAAATGGCAAGTGCAAAAGTGCCAAGCACAGTGATCAGCCAAACTACTATAATTGAGCTTCAGATTTAACTCTGTTTCTTTGCAACAAGAGCATCTATGGAACATTAATTTTCATAGTTCCCATCATTTCAGCTTTACTTATTGAGAGGAAAAATTGATTTCCCCAGGTTCAAATATAAAATAATTTATTCATGTAGGAATTTATGGGGGTGGGAAGGTTTTGAGTGGCTTAGTGGACATTAGCTTCAGCAATTGTTATATTTAAAAGGAAGAGATGTTAATGTTGACATCCTTTCAAGAAAGACAAACTGTGTATTGCTTATAATGATCATTACTTTATATACAAAGAAATCACAATTGTGTACAGAGGTGAAGCCAGTGCTTTCCTCAAACGGACATTTTGGATTTAATACAAGACCTGAATAAGTGTAAGGTCCCATATTACAGAGTAACGCAGAAATTAATTTGATTGGCAAGAAATTAATTCACACATTATCAAATGCCCAAAGCCTCCACCAATAAGACCTGTCTTATTAATCACATACACACACAGAGACATATGCACACACACACACATAGTAAGCTGGGTGCTTATACTAACATATATAACTGGGTGCTTATGTATGTGAAGTTCTAAGTTATGCCATAGCCTCAAATCTATGGATCAAGAAAATGCTGACCATTTTATCTTCAAACAATAATCAGGAAATTGAGTTATGATTTCAAATAATTTCTATTAACAATTCTTAAATCTAAATTATTTAAAATGTCAAAAAATTAAACTGAAACATATGTAAACCCTAACTCCAGACCCATCTGTTTATTCAGCATATTTTTGATTGACAGTGTATTACAATTTGGAAAAGTGCTACGCCTTGTGGGCATAAGTTACTATGGAGGCCCCTAGATTGCAATTATAACAGGTAAGCTTTATTGAGTGCTTCTTTGGGCACTGTTTTAATTGATTTATATACAGAAACTATGTGATTTTCAGGACAGCACTTTGGGGAAGATTATTATTAGTAGCCCCATTTTCCATATGAGAAGACTAAGGCACAGAAAAGTTAATTAACTTCCTCATGTCACAACATTCAAATGCTGACACTGGATTTTTAAACCAGGTAGTTTAGCTCCATTGCACCAGAAAATATCACAGTTTATTATCGTATAAGGATCTTAGGAGCTAACAATAATTTCAGTACTCTGTCAAATGTACTGTATTGGAGACCCTATTAGGGAGAGTGGAGACAAAGGACGATCTATCGCTAGGTCTAAAAGAGGGAGGAATTCAAGGGAGGCTTCACAGGTAAGGAAGCACCTGAGAGGTATCTTGAAGGATGACTTTATTTTTCAGAAGAGATAGTCAGAGAATATATTTTTATAAGTTATGAGGCTTGAAAGTTCATGGGGGGCCTAGGTAACCATATTTTAATGTAATCAGAGAGTGTGATGCCAACTGTTTAAAATAAATAAATACAGAAAGTGTGGAGAGGTTCCATTCTGATACCAAGATCAGTTTAATCTGGCCTTATTTATTTATTTTCAATTGAAGTATAATTGACATATAACATTGTATTCATTTCAGATGTACAACATGATGACTTGATATTTGTATACAATGTGAAATGATCACCATAATATGTCTAGGTAACATCCATCACCACACATAGTTACACATTTTTTTGTGTGTGTGATGAGGAATTTTATGATCTACTCTCTTAGTGCCTTTCAAATATACAGTACAGTATTATCAACTATAGTCACCTTCTGTACATTGCAGTATTATTTGTTCTTAAAGGTGTCAAGATCCACAAAAGTGTCTTTATTGAGGATTCCCTTGGACAGAATTGCAGCTTTAAAATGACCACTCAGAGAGCCACTTCAAAGACTCACTGGAGACTGAGAAACCAAGGCGCAGATAGGAAACATTTACAGGAGAAAGTTACAGGAGCCTTGTGCAGGAGGCAATGAAGGAAACAGAATATTAGAGTTGACGATGTGAAAGGTAGAGATATAAGATTTCAAGATCCCTTGGTCGTGGGAATATTAAGAATGAGGCAAAAATTAGCACATAATTACATATAGAGAATAAAGGGAGAGAAGAAAAAATGACACAGATTTCTGACTTCTGTTTTACTAGTGCCCTGTGTCGGCCTGTTTCTCAAGAAGTAAAGCCGTTGGACTTGTGCGTCCGTAGTTACTTACCATTGTCCAGGCGAGCTGTCTCATAGATATTTGGCTCCATCAACCAAGGTTCACAAAAGAGGCCGGCAGTAGATACAGAGGCATGGGAGTAACGGGCGTACAGATGGAGTCAGAATCACCTAAGTGGGTAACGCGGCCTGGAAAACGTACAGGGAAGATGTGAGGACCCTGATTTTTTTTTTTTTTTTTAAAGAAATTTAATTCCTTTTTTTTTTTTTTTTTTAAATATATCTTTATTTATTTCAGAGAAAGGAAAGGAGAGGGAGAGAGAGAGATAGAAA